TTCACCTTAGAGATCTACTCTCAGGCTACAAAACTAAGTAATGTTTTGGTCTGTGGTAGGTGCCTTACACAGATATTAGTCACAAGGCAAAAAGCAATTTGTGGCCGGTGATTCACAGATGGAGACAGAAGACAGATGCTTTTGAACTTGTGAACTCGTATGGCTTATTTAGAAGGTGAATATTTTAATTCTTTCATGACTCCCGGGATTAATGAAACAGTCTGGTAACTGGTCTTTCTAACTTTTGAGTCTATGAAAAATTCCTATAGTGTTACCATTCAAATAAAAACAGTGCTTTCGCATGGTAGAATTGGTTTTCCAGTATTTTCGCCCGCTTTAGGGAATAAATGGGTTAATTTCTAAATTTTCATTACAAATCCCCGCCTCCCGGTGTAGGAGAGTATAGTTAGGTGGTTTTCATTTGAGCGTTCACCCGTCAGGATTTGTCCCAGACGCTCAAAACTGCGTTCGATGCGTTACTCACTTCTGGTGGTGATCAGTGTAGAGTTGTCCATTGGAAAAAAAAGCTTTTGGAGTCTGCCACAACTAACGCTGCATGTTATACTTTAGCAAGTTTTACTTGTCAGTTTTTCACAATGAAAAATAATTGCACACATCACATCTACGCAACAAGGACTAAACTTACTAATTAGAAATTATACGGCTCAATAGAATTAGGTTTTGAAGTACTTTCTCCTCCTTGTTTAGTATGACTGGTGTTGGTGGCCGACCAGAGGTAATCATAGAAGGCAGTAATAATATTGATGGACCATGGATGGTAAGTATGGAATTCGCCGACGGCGTGTAAGAGCCCCATACATACATATATACTTTATTTATGCTCGAACTTTACAGAGTAGCTGTAGAGCTAATCTATTCGAGACTATATTTAATTTTATTTATTCGACTCAATATTTAATTGTCCTACCTTATGATGGGGACCTTTGTTTTTGTTTTCTCAATAGAGATGCTCAGGAAAAATATCTTGTTCAAACCATTGTTTGTTTTTAGGAATAAATGTTCAAAAGGAAAAATGAAAAAGAAGAATTCGTATTTGCATTGTTTTTAGGAGTACCACTTTCACTATAAACCAGGAAATGTTTCTGAGCCTCCTCCTGTAGTTGGTAGGTAGTTGTTTTCTTGTTGTTGTTGTTTAGAAGGACTCTTCACACTAGGGACAAAACGTTTCAGTTTGTACGCAAAGTTGCGTTTACATGCTGTACGTCGTAAATGCGGTTAGTTTGTTTTGAATTTGCAGCTTTTGGTGGTATCGAGCATATTTTCGTCGAAGCCAAAAGTAGGGCAAAAATCGCTGTAATGAACAAATTTTTGCTGTCCCCACCGTCTCCCGCACCCAACGTAACTAAGTACTTCTCATCTTAACTTCCGTCTTGGTTATAATGTACGAGGGGGATGACATTCTCGTCCTCAGTCCCCTTCCCTTCTTTTTATCACATGGTCTTTAAACGAGTAGCTCTGTAGACAAGAATGGAGGGGTAGGGCAGGAGCAATAGGTAATTACTTCCACTTCCAAAGCTCCCTTTACCCGAGCATCTTCCTTGGCAACTTTTCCCTGTTTCTTTAATGGGAACACTTGAAAACTTTTTGTTCCTAAAAATGGTCCTTAACATTTCCAAAACTGACACTTTGTCCAGAATTTTAACATACTTTACATACTTAACTCCTGAGACGATTCTCGTATCTCATTATTTCAGCGCCTCATCAGCCTCGTTTAGACTGGCAGATATGGTTTGCCGCCCTGGGCAGTTATGAGTACAATCCTTGGTTTGTGCACCTTGTCTACAGACTTCTTCAAGGACAGCAGGACGTATTGGATCTGTTAGCTAAGAACCCTTTTCCTAAGAGAGCTCCTACCTATATTAGAGCCAAGCTTTACAAGTACCATTATACGGAGATGCCTAAAAATATTACTTCAGTCTCTGATATTCTGCAAAATAGCAAGTTAGTATAAATGACAACAAAAGGATAGCTGTCACTTCCCCAATCAAACGTCTACGTTTCCTCTATCAGCTTAGAAGCTTGTTCATAATCAGATAATACGTACGTGCTAAAAAATCGCTTAAACATTTTTTTTTTTGCTCCAGCTTCCGGAGTCTCTTCCCGAAAGGGGAGAGCGCTCCTACATGCCTCTTGGATAGCAAAATACACATGCATTTCCAAAATGCCATTTGATGCTCACACTGATCCTATATTTAAAGGTTTGCAAATACTGAAGCTCTCTGAAATTTGCCTGTTTCAAGTTGGAAAGAGGAAGTAATGGTATAAAATAGGCCTGCTTCCCAATGTAATCAAAGAAATGTCTTTAATGACAAATCAAGTTCATTCCTATAAAACCAGAAATTCAAATACTTTCTCCTTATTTCCTGCACAAACAAATAAAAGACTTTTTGGTAAAAGGTTTCAAGGGGTCTTAAAATTTTTCATTTCACTAAATCACAATATACAAAGTGCTGCTACTATCTCTCTTTTAAACCCAGACTGAAAACATTTCTCCTTAGCTGATTCGCCTCTTGTTTTTTCTGCTGCTTTTTCTCCGTTCAGTGTTTTTTGGTTTGTTTCGTATGTATTGTAAATGTATTTCAACATGATTTCGCCGCCTATTTATTTTAATTGTAGTCTTAGGTTAGGGAGGGAGCTCATGTAATAAGCCCCCACGGTTTCAATTTGAGTTTTCCCACCGAAAAAATACCTTCAATTCTTCCACTTGTGTAATTTGCGTCACTTTTATTCTTTAACTATCATTTTTATAATATATTGAATGTCTGTATATTTTTTTTTCTGGCAAATAAATAAACTTAAACTAACCGAATAGCATTGCCTTCACCTTAGCCTTTTTGCCCCAGATTCCCCTTATATTATCACTACTAACTCTTTTACAAGGTTATGACTTACAAGAAAGGAATTGCTCAGTTAAAGGTGTGCTGACTCTTTAGCAAATACTCCTCACTGGTACTATAAGAATATACAAAGAAAAGTGTGGAGAACAAAATAGTCTATAATATTTTGCTGATGTTGTTTTCTCTTTAGATTGGTAAAGCATTGGTGGTGGCGTGAGATGGTGAGAGACTACTTACCCATCCTGACTGTTGATGAACCATCACTGATCACCTGGCTCAATCAATATGGTCTGGCTAAGGTCTGTATTGTCTGTATTGTCTTCTGATTTCAAAAATGAACGGAATGAATTTCATCCACAAACTCAAAAGTTAGAACCACCTTGTAAAGCATAATAAACAGTACCAAAAGAAAGTACTGGTTAGTACCTTTTATTGGAACGGACACACTTTAAGATTTTATCCTCAGACTCAAAAGTTAGAACCACCAAGTGCAGCATAATAAACAGTACCACAGGAAAGTACTGGTTAGTACCTTTTATTAGAATGGTCACACTTTAGGATTTCATCTTCAGACTCAAAAGTAAGAACCACCTTGTACAGCATAATCAACAGTACCACAGCAAAGTACTGCTCTGCACAGTAGCCTCATCCTCAGATTCAAGAGTTAGAACCACCCTGAAGAGCATAGTAAGGGGTACCACGTACCACAGGAAAGTACTGCTTAGTAGATTTAATTGAATGGTCACCCCATTACCATAGGATTTCTTCCACAGACTCAAAAGTTACAACCACCTTGCAGAGCATAGCAACTGCGTGAGTTGCGTCTTTTACTGCGATGGTCTTCTCGTCATTTATATGGATAGTTATACTTAAGGATTTCATTCACAGACTCAAAAGGTATCTCATTCGCCATGATGACTCAGAATTTTACTCATGACTATTTACCTGTACTTATTTCTAATTAATACTTTTAATTTTCTTTTATTTAGGACGAACCATGGCCTGAGCGTCCATCAGGGCGTCCATACAGAGCTATAACTTATCTCCGATCAATCGTTCGAACCCTAGATGCAGTTCGATTTACGTGGGCGCTTTTTGCATGCGGATTGCTTATGGGCCTTTTTAAGTTTCCAAAGCAGCAATAAATATTTAAGTTCCAAAGTCTAGTCTATATACATGTAGAATGAATCTAGAATTTATATGCTATGTTATTTTTATCATGTGAAAACAGTATCAATTCATTTAAACTATAGCCAGGATGTTGGGGCGAGAATCTTCCGACCTACATTTGAAAAATTACTCGAAGCTTTTACTGAAGATTGGGTAGTGGTAAAAGTCAAAATTAACTCCATTGTTTCATCCACTGCCTATGGAGAAGTATACATTAATTTATCCAAAAACACGGTAAACAGGTCAGCGTACAATATTGAGTTGCTGCCAGTGACTTCAGTCTTGTTGGCAGTGACTCCCATAAAAAAGACACGGGATGAGCGTTTTCTCGCTTGGGGATGTAAATTATGGATTTTGGTCTTACTTAAACTCTGGACGGAAAGCCAAAGTTTTTAGCCATGTAGTTCACTCTTCACTCTTGTGCGTAAAGAAATATCATCCCAAATAAGGAATACAACCCCATAAGGCCATTGGGCGCCATAACCACGCCGGCCATAGTGAGCTTGACATTGGTACTAATATTAACATAGGCAACCATAAGATAAAATAAACATGTTTATTAACAAAATATGTTAGAGCAACAAGTTAAGCCGGTCTTGAACATCCCAGTCGTCTCCATGATAAGTCCCCCGAAGAGGGAGACAAACAGTGATGGTAAGGCAGTGCTCTTAAGAGAGACGGGAATTAGTGAATTCTTCGTGCAACCATAATAGAATTCTGATTGTTCAGAAGTTACTATGTAGGTAATGTAGCCTGTTACAATCTGCAATTTTATTGCAGGTTGCACTCCGAATTCACTAATTGGTCTGTTTAAAGCAAGCTCTCACAATGAAGGACCGCATTGCCTAACGAGTTAGAATACTTCCGGCGATAGTAAAAAAGGTTGAACGACATTTCCCTTGTTCAATATGCCGTTCGTAGGATTTCTTGGATAGAAACCCCTTTGTCCTTTGCAGCTGAGCTCGCTCCCCCTCAGGTGGAGTGAGCTTTGAAAATGCCCACGTCAATACCTGCTTCCCTCATTGTGTCTTTTAACCACCTCTCAATAGTTGCTAACGTCACAGGCTTAAAGGAAGCTTGAATGGAAAGAAATAATGGTTGGGGCTCATTAAGTATTTAACGTGGAGTACCGAAGCCCTGATTTAAACAACTCAGACAGAAAATCTTCTACCTTTACAATACTGGGTTGAAGGGGATCCACTTGTTTATCATTCCAGCCCACCCATTTGGACCAACAAGACTTGTACTGATTCTGAGTTGAAATTCTCTAGGCAGCACCAGTGGGTGCTCCTGACCCTGAGGGCCTGTTAAGAGCCCTGATGTTGTGGGAAGGAGAATAGGTGTGTCCACCACCAACTGGAAGAGTTGTGTATACCATGACTGAGTTGGCCAAACTGGGCATACCAGGGTTATTGTTACTTTCTCGTGAATTACTTTCTTAGGCATTTGGCTAGAGAGTGAATGGGGGAGGCATAACCCACTTGTCTCGCCCATGGTTGAGTCAGGGGATCGATCGCCTCTACCTCGGGGTCGGGTTTGTAATTACAAAACTGGGAAGTTGGTGATTGGTTCTACTTGCAAAAAGGTCGATTGTACTCTGAACCAGCATGGTTATATTACCAACTGAAAGTATTCCGGGTTCAGGTGCCAGTCGGAAGAGTCTAGTTTAGCCGTCGATTCCCTGTCTGTTATTGTGCTGACACAGCCTGGTATGTGTTCCGCCCTTAGAGCTATTCTCTTTTGGAGTCACCAACCACACAGATGTCTTGCATAATGATCGAGTAGGCACCTTTCACAGTCGATATGGAGACTCGTTTCTTCCCGTGTCCATGTCCCCCTGGTATCTACCCCATTGCTTACAGCTCCCCATCCTGTGTTGAAGGCATCTGATTGAATTACTAGATAAGGTCGGGAAATCCGAATGGGGTGCCCGTTGGCAAGGGAAAGGCTGTCCACCTACCATCTTAGGTCCCCTAGGCATTGTGATCTAGAGGTACTTCTACATTGTTAGCTAACTGATTGTGTATTGTCCTGTTCTTCATCAAGTGTTGTCGATAATGAAGGCTTGATGAACTGCAATTTCGCAGGAAGTCAACTTTCCTCTAATTTGCGAAAGTTGGCTCAATGAGGCTACTTGCCTGCTCACCAGAAGGAGACATTCCTCCTCAATTGTAGCAACTTTCTCTTCGGGGAAGAGAAACCTCATGTTCGTGGAGTCCACAATGATTCCCACAAAATCGATGACCTGCACAGGAAAGGAAATGGATTTATCACAAATCCAAGATTCTCTAGCATGTGCTTAAGAATCTGGTTCCCTTTAAAGTCAGGGCTGTCATTAAGGGCCGGGGGTAGGGCCGAGCATTTCCCCCGGCTACTATAAACATGATCTCCGGCTACTTTAATAGGAAAAAAGAGAAAAAATATAACTAAAGAAATCCCTAACTGTTTGATTCCCCGCCTATTCCTAGTATTTAGCCGGAAACTTGAAATCTTAGTGAACCCTGTAAGGTGCTGTTCATAACGAGAATGCCGTCTAGGTTAACTATTATTCGGACAACCATCTTCCTTAGCATGCCTGTAATTGGTTTTGAGCACTTTAATTGGTAAAAGTGTAAGGGGGGTATGTTAACCCGAATGGGAGACAAGTGAATTGACACGTTCTCCCTCTGAATTGGAAGCGGGTGAATTTCGTGGGATGGTGAAATACGCATCCCTTAGGTCGAGCTCACACTTGAAATCCCATCTCAGTAGGTCGGAAACTGTTTTCAAGTCTTCCATCTTGAAGTGGGAGTAAATCACAAACTTGTTGAAGTTTGCTAGATTGATTACTGGATGTTGTCACGTTCCGCCCTTCTTCACCACACTTGAGACAAAGGGTACCTCTAAAATGGCTGTCTTCTGAAGAAGATTCCTCATGTCTTCTACCACTAGAAAGGTCTCTGTTTGGGACAAAACCCGGAGAGAAGGGATTGTGGACTGCCAAGGGCGTTCCAGCAGTTCTACTTCGTAACCCTGAATGGCCTGTAAGCCCTATGGCTCCTATCTAATTAGTTGCCAATTCTGAATGAAGAACTGCAACTTTCTGTGAATGAATGCTCTCCGGTTGAGGAGGAAAACGGACAATCATATCTAGCAAGCTTAACTTGGAACTTGATTGGGCTTGTTGAAGACTCGTTGAAGGCTTGTTGGTCTGAATAATCCCTTGCCGGGTCCCGTTTTTCCCGGAAGGGAGCCTTGCGAAAAGGCTGGTGATCATAGAATGATGGGTTCTTGGTCTTGGTAGAGTCTGAGGACCCTTCAAATGAATATGCTCTGGCTTGTTTGTAAGGATCTTTGCCTTTATCTTCGCTTGAATTCTTCTTAAATTAGACTGCCTTGGAAACTTTTTCGGCAAGATCGCCCACAAAGTTAAGCTCCGAAGCCTTACTCTCCCCAAAAAGGTAAGTCTGTATAAGGACAAAATGTTTCGCTGGTTGAGTTACATCAGTAATGTTACAAGATTTGACGATTTCTTGTCTACGCTGTTTGTTGATTGAAGCTACCCCATGCCCAAGCAAGCGGAGGCTCTTTAGAATAAGATCTTTAGCTGAACGCTCAGTTACCGAGGCAGGGTCAGACTGCAAGTGCTGGAGCAAAATATACAAAGGTCCACCTGCCTCGATATGATTGCGCATCGTTAAATGCAAGTTCTGCTCCCAGCGCAGTTCGCAAAGGCCTCCCTGTTCTCATTGACTTAAATTACCGCTAATTATTAACTAATTTGAGATAATTAGAAACTGTATTTACATGAGTAAAATGATTTTTTCTGTCTTTATCGCTGAAACAATTAACTTTTGCATGATAGTATAGTGCAACATTATTTGCGACGTAAATATCTTTTCCAGGGGATGCCTACCCAAAGTTGAAAAATTACAGAAATTCCAGGGGGCTGACAAGCACTCTCCGGAATCAGCCTAATGCAGTTCAGAACTGGTCACAGCTGGGCTCCCTTCCACAAAGTCATTCATATGTTTTTACCTTGTAACAGCACTCAGCAACTGCAGTGAAATCTTCTGTTCTACATTCCAATTCGATCATAGGGTACGTACATGCATTAGACGACTCTGCAGGACTGACTCAATTCTGTATTTACAGTCGAAGTTCTATCTGCAACCAGCTCTCGTAAGCGACCACCTCCCCTGTTAAAGCGACCACCTATACTAACCTAAACATTAAAATTTCCCCAGTAAAAGCCATGTAAATGGAACACTACCACCTTTTTTTCTAAGCGACGTTTCGGGCTGATGGTTCAAATCCATAAAAAATGTGACCATGAGTGCCAGACTTTTTGTCAATTTTTTTTGTTGCTTAATTTCTGAGAAAGGACGTCTATACTAGAGCCAGGGTAGAAGAATGTGGTTATCGCTTAACCTCTGTATGGTATACTTGTAAGTACTGTATTGCATTTAATGTAGATAGCTTTCCCACTTTTCAGACACGTTCTTTTTGCCATATAAAACACATGGGGTACAAATAGTCACAAATATAAGAAAATATTGTGACCAATTCTCTTGTTTTGTAGCCTCCCCTGCAGACGTTCTGGTTTTGGCTCGAACGCGTGACGGACCCCTAAGGACGTCTGCGTGGGAGGTTACTAGCTTTGCGTCATAGGCATACTAGAATAAAGTGCGATTTTCGGATGTTCTTAGCCTGAAATTCATCCGATTGCTTCGAGTCGTTTTCTCCTCTCAACAAGTAATAACGACTCGAAGTAATCGGATGAAATTCAGGCTAGGATGTTCTATCATCGTGTATATTTTCTAAATGTAGGACTGACATCATGGCTTTCTATTTTGCTTATTTTCTGAAGTTTTTCTCTCATCTTTTTACCTTTTAGCCGGGTGGTTCGGCAAAGTTAACAATGCGTTTGTAATCAAAACACGGCCGAGTAAGAGATCTTAAGCGAACAGACTCTGTCTTTCTCTTTGTGATTTTTTTCCAGTTTTCTAAGCGTCAAAGTAATGGGAGAGGAATCGGACAACTTAGAAAAATGCTTTGGGGGTTAATCTTTCGTCACTTACTTACGAGGTGATCAAATGAGATCACGTTAACTTGAACCTAGTCAGTCCTTGTGAGCCGATGCTCGATCAGAGTAGTATGTTCCATGCACCTTTTTTGTCTGAAATCTTGAACAAAACACGGTCAATAAAACTGGTCGGAAGGTGATTGTCACTGGTGAAACATACGCTCTTCCGGCTCTTGTGTAAAGGCTCAAACCATTAGAACTGATCATGAACGAACGTTGTGACCAAACTTGAATGATAAACTTTTCCCCAGTAAGTTTGCTGTTCCGCCCTCTAATTCACTATTTACTTAAAAATCAGTAGTCTTAGCTAAAAATCGTCTCCTAAACTTTCTGTTGAGATCTGTTTGAGATTGTGTCGTCTCGCAGTGTACTTTTAGGTTTTGGGAGAGAACACCATGTTGGTTTCTTTGCTAATTACCTAGACTACCTAAGGCCATGCAAGTTATACTAGATCAAGTTCTTAGTTGGTGTGGTGCTAACAGATTGATTGCTCATGAAACTAAGTCAGAAGCCTTATTATTATCTAAACAAAGATTCATTGGTCCATTGTTGCCTTTGAAGTATGGTGAAAAATTTATTGAATTAAAATCATCATGTAAATGTCTAGGAGTAACTATAGACAGTAATCTTTCTTGGCAAGAACACACTAAAAGTCTGTTAAAATCTTTTAATAAGAAAATAGCAGTCCTCAGAAGAATTAAATTCTTGCCATCATCCATTCTACAGACCATTTATTTTAGGACTGTACTTCCAAGTGTCTTATACGGAATACTAGTATGGGGTTCCTGCTCACCTGCACTAGTGGATGATCTTGAGCGTGCTCATATACGAGCTTCTAAACTTATTTTTAAACTTTCAAGGAATTCGAATGCTGATCAATTAAATAAATTGAAAGGCTGGAACAATT